ATGTGTCCCTGTTGCTGGGGTGTGTGCAAATGGTGCTTATACACTGTTATTGACTCCTGACATCACATCAATGCTCAGTGCATTTAAAAGATATTAATGTGTAACTCAGTTTTATGCTGAAGGGGAATGATTTTGCTGCTCAACACCTTGTTTGATTTGCTGCTCAGTACCTCAGTTTCTGACATTCCTGGATGCCCGTTGTTGCTCTTTAATAAGAAGAGGTAAAGCAAGCAGAAGTATCGAGTGTTGGATACCTCCAATGGACAGATGATCCATACAAAGGCAATGCTTCCATTTTTGGGGATAATTGCTGGGTTATTCTTTCAGAGACCAATGTCACAGAAACAAGTACATGGAGGCATGACTGCAGCCCCCCCAGCAAAGTACAAAGGTGGTCTGCGCCAGGCGGTTGGTGGGGGCTGCAGTGACCCTGCAGGCTGCCACATCTGCCAGAGCAATAAACCCTCAGCACTCAGCTCCAGGGCCAATGAGATTATTAGGGATTAATTAAATGCCATTACTAATCAGTAACAGGACACAAAAATTCTGTAGTCCCTGGGGGTCTGTGGATTTTAAGATGGTTTTGGTCTAATGATTGACTGCAGTGACATACAGCTCTTGACTTGGACTGGCGCACGCTTCGTTGGGTTAGAAACTGGCTGGATAGCCAGGCCCAAAGAGTTGTGGTAAATGGAGTCAAGTCCAGTTGGAGGCCAGTCACTAGTGGCGTCCCCCAGGGCTCGGTGCTGGGGCTGGTCCTCTTTAATATCTTCATCAATGATCTGGACGAGGGCATTGAGTGCACCCTCAGTAAGTTTGCAGATGACACCAAGCTAGGTGCGTGTGTCGATCTGCTCGAGGGTAGGAAAGCTCTGCAGGAGGATCTGGATAGGCTGCACCGATGGGCTGAGGTCAACTGCATGAAGTTCAACAAGGCCAAGTGCCGGGTCCTGCACCTGGGGCGCAATAACCCCAAGCAGAGCTACAGGCTGGGAGATGAGTGGTTGGAGAGCTGCCAGGCAGAGAAGGACCTGGGAGTGATGGTGGACAGTCGGCTGAATATGAGCCAGCAGTGTGCTCAGGTGGCCAAGAAGGCCAAGAAGGATACAATCCTGGCTTGTATCAGAAACAGTGTGACCAGCAGGGCTAGGGAGGTGATCGCCCCCCTGTACTCGGCTCTGGTGAGGCCGCACCTCGAGTACTGTGTTCAGTTTTGGGCCCCTCGCTACAAGAAGGACATCGAGGTGCTTGAGCGGGTCCAGAGAAGGGCGACGAAGCTGGTGAGGGGCCTGGAGAACAAGTCCTACGAGGAGCGGCTGAGGGAGCTGGGCTTGTTCAGCCTGGAGAAGAGGAGGCTCAGGGGCGACCTTATTGCTCTCTACAGATACCTTAAAGGAGGCTGTAGTGAGGTGGGGGTTGGCCTGTTCTCCCACGTGCCTGGTGACAGGACGAGGGGGAATGGGCTAAAGTTGCACCAGGAGAGTTTTAGGTTAGATGTTAGGAAGAACTACTTTACCGAAAGGGTTGTTAGACATTGGAACGGGCTGCCCAGGGAGGTGGTGGAGTCACCATCCCTGGAAGTCTTTAAAAGATGTTTAGAAGTAGAGCTTAGGGATATGGTTTAGTGGGAACTGTTAGCATTAGGTTAGAGGTTGGACTCGATGATCTTGAGGTCTCTTCCAACCTAGAAATTCTGTGATTCTGTGATTCCTGCCTCTTAGACAGCCCATGCCTTAACAATGACTGAAGGACTCACAGAGGAGTACTGGAGAACCTCACCTAATTCTGAAATAAAACATTTGTACTGCCAAAGCACTGAAATCCAATAAATTTACAAATTACCTCCCAGCCACAGTGCTGTAAAAATCCTAAATGGAAATCTGAACTCTGTCACCCCTTTGCTTCTTAAAAACGGGATAGATAAATACATGGGAAGAACCAATAACAGTTTGGCAGTATAGGAGGTCTGTGCAATAAACCTGGCACTTGGTGCTTCAGAGATGGATCAGTAACACGGAGATGCCTAATAGCATTTTTATGTAGCTGAAGCAGCTTGCGGATGTGTGCAGCACATCCACAGAGCTTTCTGTTCAAAAGGCAGAAGCCAAAATCTCAGCCTTGGCCATCAAAGCAACCATCATGGACTGGATGGGCTGCTTAATTCGTTCTCTGAGCAGCATGGCCCATAAAGGAACCTGCCTGGCTATGGTCAACCCTGCCACCAGCTGCCAGCCCAACATGTCATGGGTTGCAGGCTGGGTTGTCCGCTGCCAAATGGCTGGTTCTCGCACTCTCCCCTAGCATCTTTCTGAGGGCTGGGGCCTCTTGAGCCTCTGATGAATTCCCTACTGAGTCTATTTCCAAGTTTTAAAGAATTATTTTGTGTTAGTTACTTAAAATAGCACACAGGTGCAGCTGGCCTAAGGTGAGGGTTTGGTGCATGCGGTGTCCCTGCAGGCCTGAGGCCTAGCAGCGCCCTTCAAGTGGGCGCCTCCTGCATGGCAACAGGGGATGTGTTCTGACTCTGTATAGTCACGACAACTCCATTTTACTGCATTTTACCATTTGTCCATGGCTTTTGATGGACAAAGAGCAAGCTGTGAGGAAGGGGATAGAAATCTGAGCTTTAGGGGCAAGGTACGTGGTTCGCGCTCTTGTCTTAGGGATGCTGGTTTAGTTAGACCTGTCTGTGGTCATGCAGGTGCGCCGGACTTTTGTGTTGTTGAGGAAATTAATGGCTTATTAAAAATTCTTATCTAATTTAATACCAGATGTTTCACAAAGCACTATTACAAACATCTGTGCAACTGCTTAGCAAAATCCAGTCTGATAGTGCAGAGTCCTACCATTCTTCAGTTTGAGAATATAAGCTTAATGAAGTCTGTATTTCTGATCAAATTTATATAGCCATTTAGATATTTATCATATTAATAACACCTTATAATAACTCCAGAAGCACTCTTCTACTTCCTGTATACAAGCAGTGTCTTTTTACACACAGCAGCAGCCTTGGAAGATGGATGACAGCTCCCGGTTTGATCCTCAGTTACATGTTTTACTCTGTTTGACAGATAGTATTTTCATGGTGATTTACTCTTCATCATAATTAGATATAACAATTAGAATATCTTATATATCATGCTGGAATTGTATTTTAATGATTCCAAAGCTGGATGGTTTCTCAGACACCTGTTCCAGGTAGGACAAGACATGCAATTAACTCTCCTCCACACCAATCTGTTTCTTTATTCTTTTTCTTTTCCTTTTTTCCCTTGAACCATTTGAGTCTCCTGGGACTAGGAAACCTCCACTATTTTCCCAGGATATTGCCTATCCCCAGTCAATGTTTGTTATCTTATCTTTCAACTTCCTTACAGATCTGAGCAGCTGCCTTGGTATCTTTTGCTGGGTGGCAGAATCCCAGCTCCTTTGTCTCAGAAAATAGGTGCTCTGCCATGTCTGTTTGATACCTCAAGGAATGTTTTTTTCAATAAACGTAAACACCATCAATGCAAATAATGGCCAGAGATGGGAGAAACACACAGAGGACTGAGCACCTGACAGCACTGGCTGTGGCTGTGTATCCTCTTGTCCTTGGCTCCTTAAAAACAGCTTTCCCAGCTCACCGTGGCAGAGCATGTGCTGTGGTGTGGATAGGAGTTCCCAGCCAGGGACTGCCACTAAGGCAGTGCTGAGAGTCAGGGTTGATATGCGGAAGGGAGGCATGGCTGCATGTCTATTTTCTGCATGTGGTTATTACACAAATAAATGAGCTGTAAACACATATCTCCATAATGAATGTTTGTGTGTCAAAAGTCACGGTTTGCACGGAAAAGTTTGCACTATTTGCACATACAAATTAGGTGCAGAATTATATAGTTTAAATGACTAAACACCCTGGTATACTTGCAAATTCTTGCAGTCGGTGTCTTTCAACATAGGGATGAAACCACAGTGAAAGAAGTCCGACCGCAGATAGACTGGTGGTTCCTGAAGTCTCATCTCCTTATCTCCAACACTACCAGTGTTGTGCAGCCAGCATTTTGATGGGGTGCTCCCAAGGAAGGGTCCTGTATCTGGTGTTGAGCTGGTAGGTATTAAAAGACGGATATGAGCTGGATATGAGGGATATGATGGTTGCTTCCCATCTGGACTTCAGAAACGCGAAGCTGAGGTGGGCAAGGATGCAGCACTCTGAAACCTCTGATGGGGAACAACTGGGCTGTACCAGAACTTCTTTACCTGGTGCAAAGGTGATACCCACATCCTCACCATGCCAGCTGGGGAGCAGGAGAGCTGGGTACGTGTGGGGAGCAGCAGCCTACCCAGAGGAGGCTGCCTGAGCAAGCAGCAGTCAGTGTAATATTTCAGTGGTACAGCTACAGAACAAGGCAACTTTCATAATCTTTGTCACTCAGACAGAGCTGGCTGGAAGCTTTAGGAGGTGAGCTACATTGTATGTGGGCTGTAACACAGCTTATTGGCTTCCTCTGGGCAGGCAAATGTGGTATGTGCACACACCTGGGTGTTCAAGTGCATAGGTGTCTTCTTCCCCCACCAGTCTTCCTTGGCTAAAGGTGAGTGCAGATTTTGAAGAGCTGTGGTAATTTGATTTCTGTTGTTCGTTTCCATTTTCAAGTTCTTAACAACAAAAAGGACTCACAAGGTTTATTTGTTTGAAAAGTGAAATCAGCAGTGCTCGCTGCTGGGTCTGGAGGCCAGTCTTGTTACAGAGGAGGTCCTGCCTGCCCTGCAACCTCTCTCTGGCTCAGCAGTGAGCCCTGTGCTCACTCTCATTGCCCTGAGCTTTCTACAATTATGCTGTATTCTGTGTTCATATGCTTAAAAGCATAAATGCTTAATTACTTGAAGAGGCTTGTTTGTTTTGATTAGCACAGGCTTACAAAAGGGCACAGAGAAAGTATCTTCCAGCAGGAAAGCTGTTTGCTCTTCATGGAAGGGGAGGATTAAACAGGGACTTAGTGAGTTGAACCCTGGTCTCTTTTTGAAGTGTATCTGGAACCAAGATCCTAAATCAGTGGGATCAGCTGTGCAAAGCCTCCTCAGCTGGTGCAAATGGGCTCCAATGGATTAGGAGCAAAACTAAGGCTTGAGTACCTAGAGCCTCAAGATTTACCACAAGGTAGTTCTCTTTTGGATGTAACAGAAGAGTACTAAATAAACCTTCTCTTTAGCCTTAGTCTGTGGCAAATGGGACAGAGAAGGAGGGACAGAGAAAAATGAAACAGGATTATAGTTCCTCTGACTAATGTGGGTGTTGAGAGGGGAATGGGACTCAGAACTGTGTGCCTAATCGCAGGCTGTGACCTGCCTGGCCAGTCCTCTCCACTTTAGACTCTCCTTGTTGGCAGCCAAGGATATTAATTCTGGGACAGGTGACGTTGTATAGGTTTGACATAGCTCGTCTCCTGTTGGCTTTGTAACGCTTCCAGCATCTCCGGTAACTTTCCGTCAATTGGGCTCTTGTTCCTTTGGAGGACTGATAGCTCAAATATTCTTCTTTTCCCTTTCCCTTTCTCTTTGCTTTTCCTTTTCCCTTTTCTTTTTCCAAGGGGGGGAAGAGGAATAGGGAGCTTAAAAACCAAAAATCAGATGCTCGATATAACAATGGCTATACTGAAGTCTCTAGGATTCACAGCAAATAATAGGCTTTCAGTCAATCTTGATTTCTAGGAATCAACCTGTTGGTTAAATCCCAGATCAAAAGTACTCCTTTCAAGACTTGCTGTGTGCCCTGACTGTTGCTGTACAAAAAGAACATTGAAACAGTGTGCAGGGGCTGTGTACAGCCAGAAACAAAGTCCAGTTTCCTGGAGGTCTCATTTTGTCTCATCATCCCTGTAACCACCAACTCCTTCATCTCTCTGAGGAATTTCTTCCAGACAAGAAGGGAGGCATGGAGCCAGGAGGGTCTGTGGGTGCAGCTGGATCAGCTGCTTGCTGCGTGGCATCTTCGCTGAGCCCTCACTCCTCTTCTGAGCAAATTCCTCTGGACCTTTCGCCCCTGCACAAGACCAGCAGGAACTAAATTTTGTCAAAGATTTCAATCTCTCTTCCAAATATGGGTGAGAATGGCTGATCGAATGAAATGTTTTGGGGAGGGATGGGTGTTGCTGAGAAAAGACAGAGCGAGATGCAGGTCTGTTTCCCAAGGAAACTGAGCTAAAAGAGTAACACAACTCTGCAGACTGACCTACAAAGTTTAGTGTTTGCAGTCCCCGCACACAGTGTGGAGTGGGAAGTGCTTCTGTCTGTGTCTGAGTGTTTGACTGAGCCCTGTGCCTCGGGTCCATCCTGGGTAAAAGGGGGAAGGTGATGCAGGTCCCCTGGGGGACATCAGGCTCCGTGGGTTAACCGTGGCTATGTGGAACAGTCTGTGTGATGGGGCCTCAAACTTGGCCAAGGCCTTTGTGCATCTGGAACACAAACAACAAATAAGTTTTAGTTTATATTAATCTCAGTACATATCTGTTTACATAGCTGTTCAGTCCATAGATGTTTCCCATGAAGGCTCTTTCCAAAGCCAGTAGAGCACATATGGCGACGCTGTGCATTTCTCCAGCTTTGGGGTTCCTTTCTGCAGCGCGTTTAGGCAGCAACTCCAAGCTGACCAGCAGCCCTGATGACACTTGGAACTCTAACAACGAGCAGTAGGCTTTTTGAAACCGTTCCCATTTCTCACTGGCGGCCAAGGGGAAGCTCTTGATGTGGAGAGAATGAACAAAGCACGCGGCTGAGTGACGGCTGTGACTCGTCCTCTGCTGAGCAGAGACAGGTCAAGTACTTCAGGTGGAAAACAAACCCCAGCTCAGATCAGCAAGGGGCTCGGCACAGCGCTCCTCACCTCCTTGGCTGTCGCTCCGAGGATGTCCTTGGAGTACCTCGAGGCGCAGCATGGGGCCGGGATGGACCCTCAGGGAAAGGTGAGGGCATCGCCGGGCACAGGGGGACTGTCCCTGCTAGGGTTGGGGGGGTAAAAAGGGGAGCTGGGTATGCTGAGCCCACGGGGGGGTGGGGGGGGGTGGGGGGGGGGGGGGGAGGGAGGGAGGGAGGGAGGGAGGGTTGAACTGCGCTCCTCGTGCCTCAGTTTCCCTCTGAAAGCAGCTCCGGGGGCAGCCGGTGGGGTGCCTAAAATGGGGAGGAGGGGATGGGGCAGGGACCCAGGGATGGGAGCTGGGCAGGGCGGTTCGGGACAGAGCTGTCCGCAGCCTCGCTGCTGAGCCACGGGCACGGAACCTGCCCCTCCCCCGCCCCGGGACAGGGGGGACCCGCTGCCCCCAGCACCCCCCGGCGGGACACGGAACCCCCCCCAGCAACCTCTGCCCTGGGTACGGGGGGGAATCGTGGTCCCCATCAGCCCCGTGCAGGGACCCCAGCCTGGTATGGGGACGCCGGGGGGTGCTGGAGCATGGCGCTGGATGGGGTCCGGCAGCCTCGGGGACTTGGGGGTGTGTAAGTGACACAGCTTTCTGAGAGCACCCGGGTGGGCGGGGGGCTACTCCCCCTCAGTGGGCTAGCAGAAGCCCTGGGTGGCTAGCAGAGGGAGGCAGAAAGCAGCCTGGTTTGTGTGTGAGCCAGGGGAAGGGCAGCCCGGGCACAGGACAACTTTGTGATCTACGAAGCGGTTTTGAGGAGGTGTCAGGGGGCTGCCTTTCCTGTGAAATCTTTGCAGTCTGTCTTTCAGATATGAACAGTCGCTCAGCTGTGCTTTTTTGCTCTTCTGTGAGTTTTTATTCGCTGTATTTGCTAGGCAGGGAGCAGTGTCTGAGCTTCCCCTGTGGTAGGAATGGCACTGATTGATCCCTGCCATTCACTATAGAAAGAGGCTGTAGGTCAGCTGGGGTTCCAGGCTCATCAGGTTTCCTCCTCCTCTCCGAGAAAGGCTGTGACTTGTGGCACCTTGGCTGAAAAAAAGCAACTGCCAAAGGCTGGAGAGGGAAAGGGCAAAACCAACAATCACAATAAGTAAAGCATAGGGTTTTTCAGGCAGACAGCAGGAATGTGTGCCATCAGGAGAGCCCAGCCATGTCAGGGTCCTCCCATGTGCCCAGATGCCTGATGTAGACCTGGGATGTAGGTTTAGGCTCGAGTCTTCCCATGAAAGCAAGAATAGGGGATGGATGCAGAGTATGAGGGCTTCCTGCTAAAGCACCTGTGGCAGCAGGTGTTTGGAAAACCACCTCATTTTGAAGTCTGATTAAATTGAGGGGAAAGGAGCTTTCACAGTCTGTCTCTCCTTATAACAGAGCCTGAGCAACAGAGCTTAAATCAAATTCAGCAACAGCTTTGTATGCTCAGAGACTATGTGGCTGGGCAGTTTGATTTTAAAGGGCTATGTCATGCCCGCTGGGGAGCCCACGAAGAGACACTCTTGACTGAAGGCCCTCCCGGAGGAGGTAAAGATGTAGTCTTGATTGAGAACAGGCATGTTCTGGAGCATCTTTGAGCTGGAACAAACGTCCAGCAGCTGTTTCTCTCAGAAATGAGCATGAACATATTTAGTCCCCGCGCTGCAGGCTGCGCAGCTTGTGATTCTCCCCACTAACCTTGACAGCGCAGGCAGCAGCTCTGCAAGCTCCCCTCGGCCACATGCCCACCTGAGGGAGCTTCGCAGAGCAGGGGACGGCTTTGTGCAGGCTGCCAGGAGGCAGGCTGAGCCAGCACAGGATTGTAACATCGGCAGGGAGGCAGGCTGCACACTGTCTTGCTTCAGAAGGGTAAAAAAGACCCAGGTAAGCAGCTCCTAGGGCCAGGTCCCAGCATCCCACACACACAAGCTCAGGCAATGCAGCACCACCAACTTCACCCGGGGAGGAAAGGCGTTACAAGCTCCAGATGAAACAGCGTGGGAAAGCCTGGGATTTGTTCGATAGCTTTCGTGCTGGCCCAAGATCCACTTGTCAGTGCACTGCACATGGCTAAGGTAAGTGTACAGGAGCTGGCTGGTGATTTACTCTCAGACACAAAATGACAGCTTTCTGTATTTCTGCAAAACTGATTTGTAGTCCCCATGTCGATGACATCAGTGTGTCTGTCAGTACAAGAGCTGCTATTTGATCATTTTCTGCATTACAACGAGCAACGTCTACTTTGCAAATAGCTCAAGTACAACCATAAAAATAAAGCCTGTCCGAAATAATATATCAGAAAGAGAAGTTCATCTCCCCTGGACTTCTTAAATTTTTTACCAGCCTGTTCTCACAGGACACCCGCAGCTCCCTGCTGCACTGCAGGATGGAGACCTGCCAGGGCTCTGAAGGAAATGAAGTCCTGCAGGTCTGCAGGCTTTGCCAGTTCTCTCCTCCCTTGCTACACGTGTGAGGAACAGGAACAATTCTTTCCAGACCGTGCTGGGCCTTGCCCTGTCTCGTCCCAGTGCAGCTGTGTGACCACAGGCCCTCCTTTCTCCTGGGCAGCACGTTCCTGATGTATGCTTTGCTGAAGGGTCGCAGACAGACGGTGTGCATGCACTGTGTTCAGTGTGTCTGCCCTCACAGGCTCCTGGGGAAGCATTAAATATGGCCTGGAGGAGATTTGTGCATTATGAGAACTTCAGGAGTGACTTGCTCGGCCCTAAATAAAGGTTGTTTGCAATTAGGTTAATAAAGGATATCATTCTCATGGCCAGAGCCACTCAGTCTGGAACAGGGAGGCATAAATCACCTGTCCCTGTACCACGGGCACTCTTTATCCTGTGAAGAGCACAGCAGGGCATGGAGTGCTGTGCTGTGAAGCGCTGAGCATCCAGGGTGTAGATGGGGAGATGAACCCAGACGGCCCCTTTCACCACAGGCATAAAGTCCTCATGTGTCCCCCCAAATTAAGGGAGTCTTCCAGCACCCATGACCTCCTCTCCCACTGCACTCCCTCCCCCTGCACCAGCTCTGCTCCAGGGGGAGTTGTTCCTGGCCCCGTTCCCAGGTGCCACTCGACAGCCTGGGACTGGTATGGGGTGCATATGGGGATGGTGGGAACAATCGGCGGTGCTGAAGGCACTGGCATGAGCAAATGCTATAACCCAGTGCCCCAGAGAGGCACCCACCCCCAGTGCGGTGTGCAGTTATCCCAAAGGCTCCTATCTCAGTGTGCATGTCCAAAATGTGACCGGGAGCTCTGTCCGTTTTCTGTGTGTATGGGGAAAGTAACAGTCACTTCCTCAAGAAATTCTGAAGAGAAACATAAAAGGTGAGGAATGAGTAGCAAAACCTCATCCTTCCTTCCCTTTCCACATTCAGAGTGTGGGTCAAATAAACTGGTGGTTTTCTAATAAATTTAACCTTAGGAGCAATTAAAACACTTTGGCATGCAAGGAAGGGAGAGGCAGGCTCTGTGGGACATTCATCATAGAAAACACTTTGAGACTGGATTCCTGTTAGCTGGGAAATTACATATTCTGAAGCAGATTTTTTCCCTGACAATTACCATTAGGTGTCAGGGGGATGTTCTCTCCCCGCTTGCTCCTGCGTGTGCTGGTGAGGAGCAATTCCCATTTCCTCACGAAACTCATAGGAAGTGGCCTGAAAAAGGGAAAAGATGGGCTCCAATCTTTTCTATTTCCTTGTGATGGAGAAGCCCTGTCAGAGAACTTTTCTGATTGCCCTTCTGGACATAAAAAGCTTTAATTGTTGAGACCGTCAGGAACTGGCAAACTGGGACTGCAAGAATGAGGAGAAGTGGAAGAGGAGCTGTTGAAGAGGGAGGGCTTGTAAAGGGGGAGAGGGCTCAGGGCACTCAGATATTTTTGCATTTGTAACAATTTCTGCAACATACTGTCAATTCCACCTGCTCCCTTCAATTTGAGTGTTAGATCCTCTCCTTGCCTTTCTTGCAGCCAGCTGTCTTCCACTAAAGCCTGGATTTGCCATTGCTGCTTTTTCCTAAGATAAAATGACTCACAAGGTTTTAAACAAAACCTGAGCACAAGCCCCACTGATTTTGGTATCCTGTATGAGTCACAGCACCATACAGCAAGGAGTTGAGGCCAGCGGCAAGATTTGCACCAAGCAGGTGAAGAAAGTTTGGGAAATGTTTCCAAATTTCCTGTAAGGGAATCTTATCTCTGGTTATCTCTGTAGGAGACAGCATGCACCTCCCCAGCAAGGTCCCTGTGCCCCTGGGTGGTTTTGTTGCCTCCCCAAAAGCAAGTGGTGTTTTCTCGATGCCAAGCCTGGCTTGCCCTGCAGTGTGAGCCCAGGGAGAGCTGTGTTCAGGCAGGTTTTCCTGCGGGCTGCCCGTGCAGAGAGAGCACACTGAAGCTGCAGGGTCCTGGGGCTGAGGACGCAGGAGGGGACGGTTGCCTTCAGCCTAACCCCTTGGGGTGAATCCTAGGAGTAGGTTAGGAGCTGAGCAAGCTGAAGAACTCAGAGGGTTTTTTTAGTGGGGTGAAAGTGCAAAAAAAGATCAGGTAAGGACCTGCTTCCCTGGGTATCCAGCTCCGGCTTAGGACTGGGTGCAGCTTTCCCACGTTAACATCAGCTGGGACATTGCCCTGCCTGAACCCTTCGTTGTTGGTGTCGCTGATGTCTGCCTGGGCAGCCACACCAACGGGTGCTTGGGTGTCCAACCCCGCAGGCCAGCAGCCTTGTCTGAGCTGGCAGGTGAGAGCCAGGGTCTCGTTCCTCTGTACAGCACACGCTGCTGTTACCTGAACGCCTTGCTGCACACGGAGGAAGATGGGAAAGATCCCAGGAGGCTGTAATTTCACTAAAGGGAAAGATTGTGGCAGGAAGCAGTTTTGCATTGGGAAACCCAACGAGAAGTAGTCACACCACCTGACTGTGCACATTTGTCTTCACAATGTCCATCCAGCACCCCGGGGCAGCCTTCCAGGGCCAGGTGGGAGGACTGAAGCAGGGCAGTATCTCCTCCTCATCACCCAAATCCAATAAGTGAGCCGAGGAAGGACACAAGTGTGCCACATGGCTTCCTGAGAGCCTCTCGGAGCTTAGCAGGCTGATGTAAGTAGAGCTTAATTTAAAATCACGTTTGCATCAAGCTGTCAATCCAGAAACCTGGGCAAAGCGCGTCTGAAGGGTGTGGGAGTGTGCCAGCAGCACGAGGGCTTTGGCCACGTCTACATGTAAGAGACCGAGCCCGAACCCAGCCTGTTGTTGTTCCTTCCACCCGCAGGGCCCAGAAGCTCTGTGCACAGCACATCCTTGCCAGGACAGTTTTGCACAGACCAGCTCCTGGCTCCTCACTGTCCCTGCTTGCTGGGGGAGCAGGAACCACCTGGAGAGGCTGGGGGTTCACCAGAGTGGACCAAGAACCACAGAGGACATTTGCAGCTCCTGTTAACTGAATTAACCTGCATCCTGCGCAGCATGCAGGCACTGGTCAAGTAGGAGTGATCCAGTCATAAAAATATTTGATTGCTCAGCATCAGGGGCCTGAGATGGTTCCACCTGCTGCTCCTCAGTGAGTCCATGTCAGCTGTATACATCCCATGGGCTGTGTGCCCCCCTAAACCCCCAAACCACGAAACAGGCCAGAGAAGCCACGGGCCATTGGCATTTGGCAGCACAGGGCAGTAATACACAGAGCAAGGAACTATTGGCAGGATCTCCTGGCAGTTTAACACCAATTAGTGCCCTAAAATACATTTACACTCCATGCTAATTTACTTGTTACTTCAGGTAATTAGCTCCATCTGTCTGAATGCAGCCAGGGATGCGGGGCGGGCACTTTTACCTGGGTGCAGATAACAACTGTGGTTACAGGTGGGCTCCATGGCAGTGGTACTCAGGGAAAGAAATGCTCCATCTCCTGGCAGTATAGCTCCCAAGCAGGATTGTGGCTGGATGGGGCCATGACAAATAAGTCAGGGAGGGATCCTGGATGGGGCCATGGCAGGTAAGTTAGGGAGGGGTGGGGTTGCCTATGCCATGGTGCTGCAGCCCAAGTGGGATCTCGGGCTGCAGAGACTTGTGCTTGAAGCCCCTCTTCCAGTTTGGAGCAGCAGCATGTCTGGGTCTTCTGTGCCATTTGTCCCTGCGGGCTGCAGCGTGGCACATCCCTCTTTTCTTTCTCCTTCACTCTAGTGGGGTGCTTTCAGAGCCTGGACCAACAGTGCTCTCCTCTCCCAGCCCTATTTCCCCAACCCTGCTCTCAGGATGCCAAGCACCAGGTACCAACCCCGAGTGAAGGGGCAGCACCTTCACGAGCACCACCCATGTGTGGTCCCTGAGCTGTGCTGTCCTGCTGTGCCAGGACATTAACCGGGGAGCCGTGCTGGGTACGTGCCCTTCGTTCACCCCCTTCCCACAGGGCCAGACCAGCTCCCTGCTCCGGCACAGCAGGATACGGGGCAGGAACAAGCATCCCATGGGCACTGCCACGTGTTAGCACAAAGCCATAACCCAGGCTGGCCCCGGCTGCCTCCCTCTCCTGGAGCAGCAGTCCCTTGGCAGGGCAGCATCCTCGGTTCTCTCCCAGCCTCGGGAGGAGAGACAGGACTAATGCGTGCCTTAAACATCCCAGCCAGCAAACTAACAGCTGTCAAAACACATAAAACACATAATTGAACTGTACCGTTATTTTCTCTCCCCCCCCTCCCCCCCCCCCCGCCTGGTTTTCCTCCACCTGAAGGAACTGCTTTTCCATTTATTTGTTATCAGTGAAGGGAGTGAATAAGTTGAAACTCATCTGCTGCTCTGCTCCACTCCCCCCCATCAAATTCCTGAGCACTCAGGAGCCTTTGGCTTGGCCGCACAGAATAGCAGGGAAAGTAATTAGGCTGATAAACCTGGGAGTCAGTCAGGCACCCCCAGAAAGGGATTGGCTTTTTGCTACCTTTTTTTTTTTTGGTATTACACCTTCAAGTTCTGTGCTGCCGGCAGTGGGGCTCAGGTTATAATTATAATGCAGATGATCGGTGTAATCTGTAATTAAAGAAGTGGTAATCAAGTGGGATTAGCAACCTGAGCTTGTTGCCAGCCCCCCAGTTGGCTCAGTGCCGTGCCCAGCATCACGGCAGCAGCCTCATGCAGCCGGCCCTGGGGTGCTGGGTGCTGCCGAGCTCCCTAAAACACTTCCACCTCCACTTGTACCTTGCTTTGCAGATGGGAAATGCATCCAACACCTCCGTGTTCACCTCCACCCTGTCGGAGAGAGAAGACCTGATTTTTGGCACACTCTACCTAGTCTTTGGTAAGGAAAGGCAGCCCCTTGCACCTCTCCCCCGCTGCCGGCAGCACAGGTGTGTCGCAAATAGATTTTTACCCAAATTTCCTTTAAATTTATTTTACACTCATAGTAAATCACAAGATCAGGTTGTGTGATTAACAATACTTTATCATTAGCCAGTTTGACATAACAATTCAGTGGAATTTACTACAATCAAACCAGTGACTTCATTCAAGATTCAAGAATGCGTACGAGATGCCCTGCAGGGTATTCAGGGGTTTCTAAACTCAGTTGCACTTATGAGATTTTCCCCATTCTGGTGAATTTCTCACCCTTCTTCCTCATCGGTGTTTTCCATGGATGAGCCATGGTCCTTGAGGGGTCACCCTGAGAGGCACCCCAGGGAGATTGAGGCCGCAGCCCACTGGGATCCCTGGAGAGCTCAAGGGGCTCTTTGCTTAGGAGCCCTATTTACAGGACCACAGACGACTGACTGTCAGTCAGTACTTTTCCATCCTGGCTGTGGTTCCCACAAGGCAATTTTTGTGTTGCCTTGTGCCATTCTGGTACCCTTGCCATTCTGATACCTCCCAGGACGTGCAACTCTGCTGCTTCCTGGACTGGGCCACCACCCAGGTGCGATCGGGGAGCACCCATTTGTGCTCACCCCTTCTGCCTGTTGCCCCGAGCCAAAAGAGGATGATGTGACATTTTCAGTTCAGCCAACAAGGGGCAGAAAGGACTCCAGGACTCCCGTCCCCTGGTGCCCATGCTGCCTGTGCTCCTCATGGCCAGGCATTGCAGCCCCCAGGGAGCAAAGCTACCAGGCCTTGTTGGGCAGCCCCAACACATGGAGCAGGCGGCAGAGCCCGCAGACCGTGGGGACACCCCACCTGGGCCAGGTTGGGTCACCCACACTGTGGGCAGGGGGAACTCATGGGATGCTCCCGGAGCCACTGGGATGCCAGTGGTACTCCAGGTGCTAATGCTGCCTGGAGTAAATCTGGCCAGTTGTGCTCAGTGCAGGCATGAGCAGGGAACTGGACCAGCTCTGCAGGGAAGAACACCTCGTGAGGTTGGGAACAAGGGCATCTGGCTTTCCTCCTGGGACTCCAAAGCCTGGGATTTGGCCAGGTCCTGTTTCAGAAAGGAATTTTGGTGCTGGCCGCTCTGCAGCTTTGGAAGCTGGCTGTAACCACAATAGTTAATTTACAACCCAATCCATTAAGGAGAAACTCCAGTCCTACCCGAGAACAGCAACGATTCCCCTCCAGAGGAGACAGAAACTCTTCAATGAAAGCACCATTACACAGTATAAAAAGAAAAGAAAAAAAAAAAAAGTAAAGAGAGGGAGAGAGAGAGAAAGCCCTTGCTATGAAAAATTAATTGCCACTGTTGTTTTAACCGCATTAATAGCTAACAAAGAGTTTTGTTTGCTATTTTTTTTTTTTATTTAGTCTGGATTTTCCTTGATCTTTGCGATGCCTTTCTTCTTGTTTATTTTGTTACCGTGATACTAGACGGTGCAGACCCACACCAGTGATACTGCCAGGAAGAAATTAAAAAAGCAAGTGGGCCCGGGTGCTTGGCCTCACATCAGAAGAGCAATGACACAAAGCTCCTTTTATTTGTCTAGCTGGAAGGAAGCGCCCCCCTGCTCCCTCCAGCTGGAAGGCCTAAGTCTGGCCAGGTCCTGCACTGTCATTGCCTCTGCAGGATCTCAGGAAGGGGAAGGGATCAAATTCGATGGAAAGTGGCTCCAGATGTGCTCACAGAGCTCTGCAGGTTCCTTGGGCTCACCTCCTCATCCTGCTCTGGATGGGGAAGCCCAGAGCCCTTTCCCCCCGTGGCGGGCATCTCTGGGGTTTGCTTCCAATCCTTCAGGAGATCCCGGCTCCTGCCCTGCCTCTGGAGGTTCATCCCCCTGGGGTGAACAGGCAGGCAGGCTGGGGAGGACGAAGATGCCCGGCTGCCTGCCTGTGCCCTCTCTGCTGGGACCCAGGGCCATCTCCTGTCCACAGGGCCAGGGAGGGGACGCCCCTTGCACCGCATGTGCGGCACCGTTTGCCTGCCCCTTTTGCAGGCCTCGTGTCTCTCTTGGGGAACTCGCTGCTGCTGCTGGTGGCCTATCGCAAGCGGTCCACGCTGAAGCCCGCCGAGTTCTTCATCGTCAACCTGGCTGTCAGCGACCTGAGCATGACAGTGACGCTCTTCCCCTTGGCCACCCCGTCCTTCTTCGCGCACAGGTAGCTCGTGGACGTGGCTCTGCGTGGGCTGACGGAGCTGGGAGGGGTTTTCAAACCTTGTTTGGAAATGTGGATTGCCAGGGCTTGGTCTGGGGCCCCAGGAAGGCTTCTGGGTGGCAGCGGGGTGCCGCAGCTCCCCAGGCAACAGGCTGCCTTGCTGGGCCCCATCCCACACGGTGTGGGTACTGCTCCTGTTCCCAGTGCCTGTTGCGGGGACATTTGGGGAACAAATTGGGGGTGAGCTGGTGCACGTGTGTTTTTGGGGATGTCAGGCAGCTGCCCCAGGACCAGGGAAAGGGCTGGGCATAGCTGGAGGCTTTTCCTTGCAGGTGGCTGTTCAACCAGGCCATGTGCACCATTTATGCCTTCTGCGGGGTGCTGTTTGGGCTGTGCAGCCTCACCAGCCTGACAGTGCTCAGCGCCGTGTGCTGCCTGAAGGTCTGCTACCCGGCATACGGTAGGTGCTGGGTGCGTCATCTGTGCCCCTTCAGTTACCAGAAACCTTTTTGTGCCTCCTCTTACCGGCCAGATCCACCTCTCCTGGGAAAGCTCTGCCCCACGGCAGCCTGTTCCTGTCCATACGCTGGGACTCCGGGGGTTTATCACCTCCTGTTTGGAGTCGCTTCTTCATTTCCTCACCTCAGCTGCTAATCCTCCGTCTACCGTGCGTCTTCAGCATTGATTTGGGATTAAAGACCAAGAATAGAAACAAGAGGGGAAATCAAATAGCGTGATTTGCAGCCAGCACCCGAGGTACACCCTGCCCTCCCTCTCTCCTGCTCCCTGCCCCAGCCAGCCTGAGCCTTCTGCTGGCTGGTGGCTGCTGCTGGCTGCAACGTGCTGTGTGCCCGGCACCTGCCACTGCCTCAGGGGTGATGCTGGAGCAGAGTCACCTTGGGTATGTGCCAGCACATCTCAGGAGATCACTACAAGGTGGGAGGAAAGATAAAGATGAAAGGAGGCTGTTAAAAGGCAGCCAGGTACCAGTGCCCTTTCCCTGCGCAGGTTCTGCTCCTGAGCTCAGCTGTGTGGCCTGTTGAGCTTATCTCCCCTCGTGTATGTATTGCGAGGAAATGGCTAATCTCAACATATTTTTAATTGCTCATTTTCAAAGGGAAACATTATTCCTACAGGTGGCTGAAGATTTAGCACTTTGTGCTGAGCTCTGAGGGGATCAGAGTGGTTTAGGTTTGATGGGGGGTGGGACAAAAAGGAACCAACTCACCTCCCTCCAGGCTGTCGGAGGGAAAAGTCCTTGACAGGACAGTGCCTGGGGCTGTTTAGGGCAGCCCTGGAGCCAGCTCCCCATGCCCCAGGGCAGGCTGTGCCACCCTCCCATCCTCATCCTGCCTGCCCATGGGTGCAGCATCCCTCCATGTCCAGCAGTGGCCATCCAACCTTCCAGCGATGCCTCCCAATGCAGAGAGGCAGCACCACCAATGCTGCTCCTCAACAATTAGTGGGGGAAATCCTCACGGTTCTCCTGCCCCCTTGGTCCTCTGCCCTATCCCCGAGCCCAGGGGTGCGGGTGGCTGCGGGTGGAAGCCCCGGGTGTGCTCCCCTTCACCTCCCTGCCCCTCGGGAGCGCCCCTCATGTGCACCCCTCCACAGGTAACAAGTTCTCCCCCTCCCATGCCGGCGTGCTGCTGCTGTGTGTCTGGGCGTATGCCCTGCTCTTTGCCATGGCCCCCCTGGCCGAGTGGGGCAGCTACGGCCCTGAGCCCTATGGCACCGCCTGCTGCATCACCTGGGAAGCCTCCAGCCAAGAGGCCACGCTCTATATCCTCGCCCTCTTCATCTTCTGCTACCTTCTCCCCTGCCTCCTCATCCTCGTCTCCTACTCGCTGATCCTGTGGACGGTGCAGGTGTCCCGCCGAGCCGTGCGGCAGCATGTGTCCCCACAGCGCAGAGCCGGAGGCATGCACGGCCCCATGGTGAAGGTAGGGTGCTGGGGGGGCTCGCTGGGAGCTGCTGGGCAGGGTGGGGGCTCCCAGAGCTGGGACCAAACGCCTGAGTGCACTCCTGAATGTAGGAATCAGTTTGTTCTTTCTAAATGGCAGCAAAAGCAGCCTTGTGCTTGTGCACCCCACAGCAGGAGGGAGCAGCACACACCACACAAATCCCAGAGTGTGACCGGGAGCATTAAACAGCAGAGGCTGATGCTGCTGCCACCCAGCACGGAGACACAAACAGAACCCCCAGAACCAGGAACATTGGCGATTTTCCCATTAGATGTGTAACAAACAATCCGTGTGTGGCTGTCACCTATCCCCCCGGTCCCCAAATGTGGATGCAAGAAGGAAAGAGAAGAGCAAGCTGAGCTGTTGGTGGGACTGGTTGCATGTAGCAGCAATCAGCTGCCCCGCACAGCCCCATGCTGGATGTCCCATGGTGGCACTGTGCCATCCTTGCGAGGTGGAAGGGACTGCGGCAACGGTGTGGGGCACTGCTGCTCCCCGTGAGTTCTCCTGGTGTTTGCACCCGTGGATAATAACAGATTTCTCCTCATTTAAAGCCATCAGGTGGAGGAGTTTTCCTTTTAAATCACATTGGAAAAGATCATAAAAGGAGCTTGCATGAGTCATTGTTCCCCAGACTATAAGCTAAAATTATAATTTACCAGGGATATGTCAAAAAAGTGGATACCCTTTAAAAAAGGAAAAGAAAACAGCTTGCAAGCCTGACCCTGAAGGAAATGTTTGTGCCTCCTTAGAGGAGGGGATCTGAGCATGGCCCATGTCTGGAGCCTGTTGGTTGATCAGCACAGGTTACAGAAGGGATTTTGGGTGCTACCAGAGGCTGCTGCAGTCTGGTGCTGGCCTGGTCCCAGAGGCTGTTCACAGCCAGGTCTGTGCCACGATGGGCTGAGGTTATTCCCACGTTCCCAGGTGGGCCGGGGTGTGACCCGCCTGCATCACAGGTTTACATGTTCATGCTGGGATGTGCAGGCTTGGGGCTATGCTGTCTGACACCCTGCTCTGACAAGAGCTCTGGAGAGCCAAGGAGCTTTCCCGGAGGTGCGACTGACAGCTTGGGTCCCATTGCACACAGCAGCCGTGGTCGGCCTCAGGCTGGGTTTTGGGGAGGGTCAGCACCTCGGGCACACCATAGGAGTCTCACGGCACCTCCATCTCCTCCTCTTGCAGCTGAGCATCGCCGTGTGCTTGGGCTTCCTGGCTGCCTGGACCCCTTATGCCGTCGTTGCCCTGTGGGCAGTCTGCAGAGGTGCCAGCCAGGTGCCAGCACTCGCCTTCGTGCTGTCGGCTGTCTTTGCCAAGTCCTCGACGCTCTACAACCCGCTGGTGTATCTGCTCTTCAAGCCCAACTTCTACAAGTTCCTCTCCAAAGACATTGTGCTCCTCCAGGCCATCCGCACTGTCCTCTGCTGTGGCTGCCTGGGCACCGTGCTCCAGCCCTTCCCACCTGGAGATGCCAGTACCCACTTCTCCCTGGGCTTCAGCCACCACCATGGGGCCTGCAGGAGCTGCAGCGATGCTTTTGAATGCTTCAGCAACTACCCCAGGTGCTACAAACTGCCCCAGGGCCCTGGCCCCTCGCCCACTCCCCTGGCCATCCTGGCTGATGGGGCCACTGACCAGCCGGGGCTGAAGAGCGCAGTGCAGGTCATGGTGCTTGTGACACGGAGGAGGTCAGGGCTGGGCGCTGCCAGTGTGGCAGGGGAGGTGCTGCCAGAGGGGATCATGAAGGATCTCCTCTGAGTGCTTAGAGCCCAGAGGTGCCCCAGCATCCTGGCCCCAGCTGTGCCCGAGCCCCACATTGGAAGAAAAACCCCGAAGTGGAAAAACCCAAATGCGACATTTCTCTCATCTCTGTACCTGATGGGTCCCCAGCATGTTCTGCAGATGATGTGACACCAACCTTGCGTCCCCTTCTGTTGTTGCTCTTGTGACTTTGAGCCTAGCATTTGCACTTGCAAAATATATATATAGAACAATACCAGACCCCCAGTGCCTGAAATCAGGCGAGGGTGCAACTCCAGGCTGCAGCTTTACTGCTGTTTGCTCTCTGGACCCTGGGCCTTAGTTTCTACATCCTGGTGCTCTGATGACCAAACAGGGACTTGGTTGTCTTAAGAAACTGTGCCTGGCCCAGCAGGAGGGGGCTGGGGGACCACAAGGTGCCCCCAGTCCCAGCTCCTGCAGCCACAGCAGACCATGTCCCCTCCTGCCAGGGCGCGAGGAGCGCCCTCCAGCTACCTCACAGAATCACAGAATTTCTAGGTTGGAAGAGACCTCAAGATCATCGAGTCCAACCTCTGACCTAATGCTAACAGTCCCCAGTAAACCATATCCCTAAGCTCTACATCTAAACGCCTTTTGAAGACTTCCAGGGATGGTGACTCCACCACCTCCCTGGGCAGCCCGTTCCAATGTCTAACAACCTTTTCAGTAAAGAAGTTCTTCCTAACATCTAACCTAAAACTCCCCTGGCGCAACTTTAGCCCATTCCCCCTTGTCCTGTCACCAGGCACGTGGGAGAACAGACCAACCCCCACCTCACTACAGCCTCCTTTAAGGTATCTGTAGAGAGCAATAAGGTTGCCCCTGAGCCTCCTTTTCTCCAGGCTGAACAAGCCCAGCTCCCTCAGCCGCTCCTCGTAGGACTTGTTCTCCAGGCCCCTCACCAGCTTCGTCGCCCTTCTCTGGACCCGCTCAAGCACCTCGATGTCCTTCTTGTAGCGAGGGGCCCAAAACTGAACACAATACTCGAGGTGCGGCCTCACCAGAGCCGAGTACAGGGGGACGATCACCTCCCTAGCCCTGCTGGTCACACTGTGACCTCACTCGGGGCTCACTCGGGGCTCGGAAATATCTTCATATACCTCTCAGAGACTGCTCTCTGCATGGGCTGGGTGACCCCACTCCCTCAGTTGCAATGCAAACCCACCACCATTCGGTTAATCTTGATGGGAGCTTGTCTTTAGGGTAAGGATTTGGGGTTCCAATAATCCCAGTGTGAATAGTACCGGCCCCAGGTGGTGCTCTCCAGGCAGGGAATGGCAAATCTGTGGCTGAGAAGCCCCTGGAGATGGGGATGTGGTTGGAAGTGTCACTGGGAAGCCAGGGCTTCTCACACCATTGGCACCACTGTGAGAGAATGGCAAGTTGCCAGCTCGTGACTGTAATTCAGAAAGCAGTGTGTGGGCAGTCCACCCCGAAGGGAAGAGGCAGGGCCAAAAAGGACTGAGAAGCTGTGAGAGGGCGCAATGCAAAGCCATTCATCACTGCAGGAGAATCACCCCGTGGGCTGCCCCGAGCACAGAGCTGCTGCGTGTGCCCCTGGCATGCTAGGAGCTGGTGCTGCCTTACAGGGGCTGCAACAGGCAGCGATGGAAGGATGTGCTCACGGTGATGGGCAGAATCAGCAGCAGAGGAGGGAAACTTCAGCTGCCGGGCCCAGCACTGCACGCTGGACTCACCCTCCTGCCTCCAGATACAGAAATTGCTGGTTTAGAGGTCGCTCCCTGAGCCTCACCACACCACTGCCTTTTCTCAGCAGCAGTGCAGCAGCCTCCTCCATTCTGAGGGCCCAGAGAACTTCACAAAAGAGCAGCTGGCTGCCGGGATGTGCAGGTGTGCAGAGGGGTGCACTCCCGGGGGAACAGAGGGCAGACACCCACCACATTCAGGCTGCAAACTTGGTAGTGCTGAACCCAGCCGTTAGAAGTAGGAGTTAGGCATTTTGGCCTTGGTGTTATGGCCAAGTCCCAGTGCAGGCTGTGCTTTCCTTAGGTAGCCCCATCCGCAGGGAGCATCTGCTGAGCACAGTGCCCTCGCCTCTGGCTGTGGGCACTGATCCCAACCCAGGGCTGGTTCAAGCTCAGAGCTGTGTGCTGAGAGCAGCTTACAGCATAGCAGCAATGGGCACGAGCAGGCCTGCCCCTGCTTTCTGTGTGTGCTATCATTATGTCTCCTAAATAGTGTACGGTAGCATGAGTCGTGGCACTTGCTTTTGTCCTTTGGTTGTTTCCATGTAGCCACTTTCCCTCAGCAGTTTCCCTGTTTCAGGAGTGGGCCTGTGCAAAAGAGGATCTGTGATACCTTGAGGTGTGCTTGCATCCTCCCCAGTGCTGGGAAATCCTTGCACATGTGTAACACGGGCAGGAGCCAAGGACTAACAGGAAGGCCATGCTGGGACCGACACACCAAAAACCGTGGCTTTGCTTCCTACCTGTGCTATGCAAAAAAAAAAAATCAGCCAAGCAAAAGATGTGCAATGTTTGAAAAAGCTTCAAACAAATGAAGAAATATCTGGGCAGCCAGTGAAAAGAGAGGATGGAGCTTCAGACGTGTGCACACCTCCAGGAGGGAGCAACCCCATCCAGCCCCTGTGCAGAACTGGGCACCAGCACCCCCCACACCACCGCTGCCCACCTCAGGCCACCCCGGCACGCCAGGAGCTCCTGAGCTCTCTGTGTCTCTGTTACCTATTCTTTGCATTCCTGAAATCGTGCATTTTTTAAATAAATTCACTCGTGCAAAACTTGAGTTCGACTCAATTCAGAGACGCCCTTATGGCTGTGCTCTGGAATAAATGGAAATTTTGCTGGTGCATCTGCCACCTGTGGGGTGGTGGTCACAGCCCACAGAGCTCTCTCTCCCTTGTGTTCCCACCAGAGGACACGAACAGGAGGGGCTGCTGCCATCTCCTGGGGGCTCTCAGCCCCTGGGCACGGCTGCTATGGGGCAGCTCAGGGGGAGGCTGTGGCCCCATGGTCAGGGCTAGTGCTCAGGGCTGGGACGGGCACAGACTGAGAGCAGCAGTGGGTCCCTGCTGTGCTCAGCAGCCCCTGTCCTGCTGCCCTGTCCTTCGCCAGTTTGAAAATGCTGCAGTCTAGAAATCACCTCAAGGAGGTAGGAAAAAAAGGCTCTGTAAGTCCCCCAGGTCCTTTATTGCTGTGGGAAAACCCCAGGTCACCACTTTCACCTTCAGCTTAACGTGAGAATACATAATATTACGAGCACATGATAATGAGTGTGTTTTAAGCTACACTCACACGAGACACTCAAACCCCTGGAGATGTCCAAGCAGTGGCACAGAATAAAATCACTGTAATTACAAGCATGCACCACAGCCAGGCCAAATGGCAGGTCCTCTTCCCCTACAGGGTTGGGGGCTGCTATCACCTGGGTACTGCCACCTGCAGGGATGGGCTCTGGGCATAGCACAGCTGGGGCCCATCTAGATCTAGATCTAGTGGTGTCCCCAGCTGGGGCGCTGCTGCAGCTGCTACTGTTATTTAAGGACCGGTGCCCCTCTCTACCCCCCTGCCCCCCTCCCCGTAACAGCAGCTTATGAGATGGCTCCTGGTGGAGGGTGATGACAGCAGCACCTCTGGGGATTGAGGTAGGGACTGTTTGCTGTTGTGGTGGGGTACAGTTGGGGAGGTGGCTGCTGGTTATGGGAAATGATTTCTTAACTTTTGGGGCAGCTGCAGGCTGGTCTGTGGCCCTGGGATGGGTGGGAATTGGGGATCTTGTTGGAGACTTAGCTCCAGAGTTGGGGGCTTTGGGGTGCAGGGGGCTGCCTTGCTGCTCGATGGGAGCCTGGTGTTGGGGCAGAGCATGAGCCCTGAGCTTCATGTGCTGCTTGGTGAGGTAGAAGCTGCTGAGGCAAGTGCAGCATCTTCCTTTGCTGCCTTTCCTTGAAAGCTGTGTAAGGATGGCAGGCTCCTACCCTGTTTCTACACCTCTTGTGGCAGAGCTGCAGCCTGCGGTGGTTCAGGTTTGAAAGAGGATGCCAGGGTGACAGCAAGCAGCTGGTGTGTGTCTGCAAAGCGCCCACAGTGTGGTGTCATGCTGCCTTCCCACTCGTCCCGGGGTATATGTGCTCCTTGAGCTAGCACCATGTCCCACCAACTTCTGCCACATATGGGCCCAACCCTGTCACTATGCAGCATCCAGCAGCCTGGCTGAGGCAGTGCAGGCACAGGAGGTGTGTGGCTTCATCCTGCCTTAGCCTCTGAAATGGCTCCTGTGGGCTGAGCCTTCAGGCTCTTGCTTCCATGTCCAGGCCCTGCCCAGGCTGGGTCCCCAGGGCCATGGCCTCCATGGGTGTGTTCATCAGTGCTGAGGGACAGCAGGCTGGGGTTTTTGTGTAAAGGGAGCTGAGAAAAAACATTGTTCTGCTATGCCATGCCTCTGTTTGGACAGTGAGGCTTCCAAAGGAAGCTCTGGCTGGATTGTGTGAAAACCTGAACAAATCTGCCCTTTGAGTTGGGTTTCTCCTAATGCTGCTTCTGTGTGCTGGCTCTCAAGGAGAGCTTCACTTCTAGAGGAGGTGGATGGTGCCTGCTGTGCTGCCTTCAAAGCCTCTCTGACTGAAGCGACCACCAACCTTTGCTTAAGCACTCAGCTTATTTTTCATTTTGTCACTGACTCAAACACTGAGCCCCTAGGGATGCCCCATAGCCAGTGCCCATCAGGCAAGGCGGCCACAGACCTCAGTGAGCTGTGTGGTGTTTCCCCAAAATAGGGGATTGCTGGGTGCAAGGGCACACCACACTCAGCTCCAAGGCTGTGTGGAAAGTGTATTTTCCCTGATGTGCCCTCAAAACTGACATGTCTGCTCATTTATAGCTGCTGTCAGCAGCTGCTTGGGCAGGCCCCAGCCTTCCTGACAGGCCACTGCTCCCACCTGTCCTCAGCAGCTGCTGGGTGCTTGCCTCAGGTGCCTTGTGTGTCCTGAGGGAAGGCAAACGGGGAATCTGCTGACTGCTGGGGAAAGCCAGCAGGATTCACAAGGAATGTGAAAACAAATCACTGTTGGAAGTTTCTTCCATTGGTTCCAAAAAATGGGAGGTAGTGCATAGTTTGAGCAGTAAGAGCTGCCTTTCACTCACCGAAATTGGGAACTGTGTGCTCAAAGTGCAGCTGATGTTAAAGTAAGCCCATGCAAAGTTTCCTCCTGTGTCACTGTATCACAGTGACGTCCCTGGCTGTGGCAGGGAGCCAGGCATGAAACCAGGGCAGCTGGTGGCCCTGGGGGGAGATGTGGGGTGCCTCAGGGTGTTCTGCATTTTCGGGTGATGTGGGAGTGCAGCAGCACAAGGGTGCTGCAGCTGCTGGCAGCATGGTGCCC